TAAGATCCAATAAATTTATTCGAGTTTCAGAACAATCTGTAGGTATAGGATTAGGTTTAGGAATTTCAAATCAATTGGTTAAGAAAATGGGTAATCAAGATAATTAGATTGAATTAAAGAGAATGTCTAAAGGATGTTAATTTAGTTTTGCTATAAAAAATCATTATTTTGAATTAACAAAAGAATTTACAAGAAAAAAGTCATCTCGTTTGTCTAATAGAAGTAATTAAACAATAAGATTTATATCTGCAAATTCATATTATGAAGATTAGATTAAAGATCCATCTTATGGTTTAAAAGGAAGTATTGTTTAAAATTAATAAAAATTGTATGTATTTCCATCAACAAAATAAATAAGTTTAAGTCATGATATAAAGAGTTAAAAAGAAGAAGATAGTATATTTTCAATTCATCCTCCAATTTTAAGTCCTAAATTTTAATAATCTATAATATAATGTAGTTTAAAAAGTGAATGTTGTTCAAGAGTATTAATAGTAGATGATGAATATTTTAACATTTAATGTTTAAAATTACTAATGTCTAAATATTAATCAAAATGTGATTCTGCATATAATGGAAGTGAAGCAATAAATTAAGTTTTAAATAAGAAAAATAATATTTGTAAAATTTGTGGAAATAAATACTATAGTTTGATATTTTTAGATATTAATATGCCAATTATGGATGGATTTAATACTGTTAAAGAATTAAAAAAAATGATGAGTGAATAAATTATTAATAAAGCATTTTGTATAGCAAATACAGGATTTTGTGATTTAGAAACTAAACTTAAGAGTTATGAATCAGGAATGGATTACTATTTAACTAAACCTTTAGATTAAAATGAATTGAATTCGATATTAAATGATATATTTCCTATGATTGACTACTGATTATAATGAATATGTACTATAATTAATTTAATTGATATGTGTATTAGGGATGTTAATATGAAAAAAAATTAAATCATTTTAAATAAATTATTAAAAAATAAATATTCTTATGCCATCAAAGAGAAGAAATAATGGTCGTTCCAAGAAAAATAGAGGACATGTCAAACCAGTTACATGCTCTAATTGTTGTAGATTAGTTGGCAAAGATAAAGCCATCAAAAGATTTACAGTCAGAGACATTGTTGATGCATCATCAAAAAAGGATATCTTAGAAGCATCTGCTTATGATACCAAATAATAATAGTCAATTCCAAAATTATTTGACAAACTTTAAGTAGTGTTGTTTAAATTAATCAGAATAGTATTGCATATCATGTGCTATCCATGCTCGTATTGTGAGAGTCAGATCCTCTGAAGATAGAAAAATTCGTGTCATTGAAAGAAAACGACCTGTTTAATAAACAACTTAAAAAAAGGATGCCCCTAAAGTTTAAGCTCCAGTCGCAGCTCAATGATATATATATTACAAACATACATTAATAAATTTAAATTTCCTATTCAATCAAGGCATTTCTAAGTATGTGAGTATAAATAATTTAAAAAAAAATTAATATCTTCAAAAAATGACACATAGTTATGGTTTGAAAAAAGGTACAAGAAGCAAATTTGCTAAACCATTCAGAGGACATGGAAACATTAGTATTCGTAAAACACTCTAAACATTCAAAAGAGGTATATTTACTATAATCAATCTTTAGGTGATTTTGTCGATATTTTGGTTGATGGTGCATAACATAAGGGTGTCCCCTTCTAATATTATCATGGACGTACTGCTAGAGTTTTCAATGTTAATCCAAGAGGAATAGGTGTCTCATTATAAAGAAGAGTCAGAGGTAGATATGTAGAAAAGAGATTCCATGTTAGAGCTGATCATTTGAGACCATCTAAATGCAGAGAAGAATTTGTTAAAAGAGTTTAAGAAAATGATAAAAAGAAAACAGAAGCCAATAAATAAAAAAAACATATTTCAACCAAAAGATAACCAGTCCTCCCAAGAAATGCTGAAGTCGTCAAACCAACAGCTACAGTCTTTTAACATCCAAAAGCATTTGTAGAAATTATTTGAAATATAATACAATAAGTATATCTATACATCAATATTTTAATATTAATTATTAAATGATTAAAAAAGTTCTTAATGATGTATAAAAATATCTATTCCAATTTTTATAATCATTCTTTCCTTCTCTATAATACTTTATTATTAATGTTATCCATATTCAACTATTGAATTTCATTATATATTAGATTAATAATATTTATAATATTTTATATATGTAATCCAAAGACTTTTAATTACAATTAGATATTTAAGCTTTAAGAGAATCATAAATACAACTTGATAATATTATCAATCAAATTTCAAAATAAAAACAATCACAATCATTAAAATTAAATTCAATTTCAACATCCAATTTTGAATTGAATAAAACCTTATAATAATTCAATATATCTAATTCTCCAATTAAAGAATCTGATAATAATAATAAATTATCCAATTCAAAAGATTTTGAATAAGATAAGTTGAAAAATTAGAAGGTTGATGAATTAAAAAAGAAAGGGAACGATTACTATTGTAATGCTAATTATTAATAAGCTATTGTAATGTATACTGAGGCACTTTAATTAATTTAAGATAATGTAGTATTATGGCTCAATAGAGCTATTTCTTATATCAAATTAAATTAATTTCATTAAGCAATTGAAGATTGTTCAAAAGTATTGGAAATTGCCAATTAAGGAAATAATTCATTGAAAGCAAATAATGATAATTGTTTTAAAGCATATTTAAGAAGAGCATTTGCATTTTTTAAAATTAATTAATTTGTTCTTGCTTTATCAGATATTGAGTAGGCTTTGATTATAGATCCTAAGGATTTAGAGGCTGAAAAATTAAAAATAGATGTGGAAAGATAATTAAATCATGAATAACATAAATAAAATAATTAATAAGATATTAATAATGTTATTCCAAAAAAAAAAATACATGATTCAGCATTGGATTTTAAAAATGTTATTGATAATTTTTTTTTACTTAAAGAAAAATTTGATTTATTTCAAGCTTTTTAAGTAATGTAGAAGAATACTGATGAAGCAGCTGCCTATTTTTATGATAAGAAAGGAATTGAAACTTTAATATAAATAATATAATCAGATGATGAAGTCTTACATGATTAATACAACGTATTTTATCTTAAAAAATTAGATGATGGCTAGTCTTCCAGCAATGATCTTATAATGTTATTAAGAAAACAACTAAGTATACTAAGAGTAATTCATAAAATAATATAATGGAGTTGATCTATTGATACATAAAATACTTGGTTTATTAGAAAAGGTTAATTATAAAAAGAATTCAGCAATTTATGATTGTATTAAAGATTATATTGATGCTTTAAATATAATGACAGATGAAAAAGTAAGAAATCTTATATAATCAAATCCAATTTTTGAAACTAAATTTTATTCTTAAATATTTTGTCCAATTTTAAACTTATATCAATCAGAAATGGATCTAACAGCCTCTTTACTTAGTTTAAGTGCTAATTTATCTTTTGATATAAATAGTCCTATAAGAACAGTATTTTATAATAAATTAGATGAAATCATAATTTTGGTAATTTAAATATTGGAAAATGTTAAATTAAATGTAGAATCATCTAATTTATTAGTATAATTATTTAATTATTTGTCAAACTTATTAATTGAAGAGTAATTTAGATAAAAATTTCTAAGTCATGATTTCAATAAAGAATTTTATATATAATTTTTCGATATTTTAAAAAATATGGATTTGTAATTTGAAGAACTTTTATAAATTTAATTAGGATTTTTGATTAATCTATTTTATAGTAATGAAATAATCCATTCTGAGTAATTGATTTAAGAATTGAGAATTCTACCTAGATATTTTGAATAATATAGTCAATCTAAAGATGCAATCATTCTAGAAAGAATAGAAATACTTCAATCATTTTTATAGATTCGAAAAGATTACTTTACTCAAATAGAAAACTAAAAACAATTAAGATGAAACTATGTTGATAATTTAATCCAATTTGATGTGTTTATAATTTATTATATAATATTATTAAAAATAGAATTATTAATAAGTCAATTATTATCTAATAATTATATCATCAAAATAAATCGCATCAAATCTTTTATAATGGAATACTTAAAAAATAAATGATTTAGTTTTAAGGGATTAAGTTTAAATAAATAAATAAAAATATTCATCTAATTGATCTTAAATAAGAATTTATAAAATACAATTTAAGACAATTAATGAGTATTTGGATATCTAATTAAAGTTATTGTATACTGTTTATAATATATTTATAAATTTAGTAGAAAACTATACTCTTTGGTAGTTCTTGAATTGCCTCCTTATTACATAAGTCACTTTATCAATTGTAATATCATTTAAATTGAAATAAACTACTAAGGGATTGAAAGACAGTTAATAATTACAATTTAAAATTTGTAAATCATTTAATTCGATATCATAAAATAAAAGCAAATTAAAATTGAAAGTAATTCAATTTTTATAATTTACAACAGCTTTTAATTTTGAATCCTTATTAAAACATTAACTGACTTTATATATATAATCTTAAAAAGTAGAGTTCAGAACTTATCTATTTATCAAAATCATACTCTTGAGAGTGTAGATTAATTAAAAAGAAATATAAAATTAATAAAAAAATATGTAAATTGTTTGTAGAAACGCATTAAATATTTGTAGAGTTATTTATTTTGATTTTTAAGCAATAATCTTTTTGTATAACCATTTTAGAATAATGTATTGATTATTTCTTAATAATGAAAATTGATTGGTTTGAAAAGAATAATATCTTAAAATTTGTTTTATTATAGACAGAATAAATACTTGTCCTTAAGAGTGTGAGATATTATTTAAAAGACAATATCGATTATTATACTTTGATTTAATATGATCTATATTACACCAACTTACATAATAGAGAATGATGATTAAAAAAAAAGAGAGAAAATGAAGAAAATTCATAAGAGATCTACTTATATGTTTTATATCAATTTATTATTAAATTCATATTCCTTTTTTCAATATTGAAGTAGTTGGATATCTAGAGAGTTTAAGGTTTGTTCCTGTTTGTTTTTGGTAGAGAATCAAATCTTCACTTACCATAAGTGGAGGATCAGATTCTTCAAATAAGAGAACAACTTCTAATTCATTGAAACTGACTTTTCTTGATTCCTTTTTTTCAGAATTCAACCTATTGATAAAAAAGGTTTCTCTAAATTCTTTGATTTATGAAATACTAGGCTCATCTTCATAATAAACATCATCTATTGAAGTATCTGTGCTGGTGTATAAGCATTGCATAGTTTGAATATAATTATTAATATTAATAAGATTTATGGTGTAATTCTCAACAACATTAATAAATGAGATTACATCTATATATTAATTTAATTTAAATCATAATCTAAAAATATCAAATATTTATGAATGATTATTATTGAATTTTATATAATAAATTGAGTTTATCAAATTAATTAAAGTATTTATAAGTTACTAAATCCATTAAAATTCTCTCTTATTTATGTATAAGAATAAAAAACAATTTACATAATTGTTATTAAATTTATAAAATGAGTTGTAATTTATATCAATTCTTCTTTTGATTAAACTTCCCATTTGTAATTTGAACCTTCTCCATTATAATTTTTTTATTTATTTATTATTTATTATCTCTCAGAATTGTTTCTAAAAACTTCCTATCAGAGTATTTGTTTAATAACTCTTTTGAATCATTTCCATTCTATTATTAATATTAATGCTTAAAGTTTTTCATTAAAATTAAAGTGTCCTAATACACATCTTAATTAATTGATTATATGTTAGTCACTTCACATTTCCCTACTTTTTGTGGTGAATACTACTATGTGGCTCCAGAATTGAGTTTTTACATATTATCAACACATCTATCGTACCATTCTGAGAGATAAAGGAATATGTGATGTTTCTCCTTTGAAAAATATTTTAAATTAAGATACTTTCATCTTGAGCTTGGGATTAAGACGAAGCTTTGTTTATGCTGTCACATCTAATTGAGACTACTACGGTACCAACAAAGGATTCAGCAACACTGTGGCCTATATTGGCATACTTCATATTATATTTATGGTATATACATGACTTCATCAATTTACTTTGGAGCTTCTTAAGTTTCACTACTCTTAGTCTCCTGGTTTGGCTTGAATAATAAGCTTTAAATACCTTGGAACGCTTTCGTTTCAATAAGGCTGCCTTAAAAAAAACTAAAGTTAAAGGTGACTTACCTCTTCTAATTTTTGTTATTCTTCAATCCTCTACAAATACGATTTCAATTTTCTCTCCTCTCTACTTGATGCCTGTTCCTTTATGTAATAATTTTAATTTGATAATTATTTCCTATTCCCCAATCGATGAACTTTATATTATTTCCTCTATTGTCCCTCTTATGAAGATGGCTAGCTTAAATTATCCAGACTTTCAGGCTTAGATAGATCATTGGCACTCATTTTTTATTTTATTAAATTCAAGATTTTTAATGAATTTTTAAGGCCTTTAATATTTTTATTTCCTCAATAATCCTCAACATAGTATCATTTCACACAATACACTTTTTTCTTTCAATTTTATCTATCTTTTTTATTACTAATTTATATATATTATTTATTTAATTACAAATAATTAACAATCAAATACACTATCTTCTACTCAAATCCATTTCTCTGAATATCTACATCTTTATTAAATACAATCTCTATATTATTTTCATTTTATTTATTAATAAAACATCATCTTTATTACACAAAGACTTAAAAACAATCTAATAATAATAGTAAATCAATATTAGAATCAATAATTAATTAATATAAGTATATAATCATATATAACATCAATTGATGTTATTTATTAATTCAAATATTACTCTATCATTTTTCATATTTTTAGTAATAAACCAAATTTATTATAAAATACTTATGATGAATATTTAATAATTTTATATAATTTGATTTTTTTTTATTAAAAATGCTCTTAGCATTCTTTTTAGCGTTTTAGCATGTTATGGCAGATTGTATTGAAAATTCATATCTCACTTACCCAAATTAAGCTGAATGGGTTTATGTATTAATTTTCTTTAATTATAATTAGGCTGTTAAGAGAATCTCAATTAAATTAGAAGGAGAATATGTAATTGGGTATGGAGATGATTTTGAAGTTAAAGATAAATCAAAAATATAAATAAAATAAGTACCAGGAGGTTTAACATTTGGACCATCTAATTTTGAGATCTATTGTCCAGCTATTCATAAATTATCCAAAAAAGGTTTAGTGAAATGTGAAATCCAATTAAATATGAAAGAAATAAATGCTACTTCTGTTCCTTCTAAAGCATTGTTTGTATTTTCAGTAGAATTAGATAATGAACTTAAAGAAAATCCTGTTTTTTAGATTGAAAACAATTTTTAAATGAGATTAATGGATTTTGCTAAATAATTAGAAAATATGGCATATTATCTTGAATATGAGAATTGTGATCAAATAGTATATTTATTACCAGATCCATTACCAATCTCATCAGAACAAATTAATTTACTCTAAAAATACTCAAAAACGTTACCTGATGATAGTCCAACAAAGGAGATAACTGAATCAATCAAAGGTTAATTGTTTGTTGAGAATTTTTCAATCAATTCAGATTCAAATACTTAACTTTATGGTCTTGTAGCCATAATTATTGGTGTAATAATATTGATAGCAATCAGAACTTTTAAGTAAAAATACTTAGAATATTTTATAGCAAAAGGAGAGAATAATAGAAGTAGAATGATACTTCTAAACAACCATTAAATGAATAAGAACTATCAAAGTTAACTTGATCTTATATTTAAATACATTATGATTTTATTATTTATTATTTTGAATATTCTTCTATATCAAATATAATAAATAAATAATAATAAATTATGTAAGAAGCAAGATAACTATTAATATCTAAAAACTATGATGAAGCTTTTACAAAATATAATTAATTACTTAATGAGGATATAGATAATAGTAATAAATCAATATGCGCTTTGAATTGTGGGATATGTCTCATAAATAAATAAACTTATGAATAAGCTCTTTAATTCATTGAAAAATCTATAACTTATAATCCTAAATATGTCAAGGCCTATTATCGAAAAGCATAAGTTTTGATTTAATTAAAATAATATGAGGAAGCTTTATAAATAATATAAAATTTAGAACCATGTTAAGAAGTCAATGAATTAAAAGAGCTAGTTAAACTTTAATTTAGTGATCCTATGTATGTAATAGATGATTTAAAGAATTGTGCAACTGAAAAAGATGCTATCAAATTCTTTAATGAATTGTATAGTAAATAAGATTACATAAATTATGATAAATTAATGAAGGAAAATGGATTTTGTTAATAAATTCTAAGTTAAAAATTCATATTCTAATAAATGAAATATGTTTAATATTCATTTATCAAATCATAAATGTAGTATATACCAAAATGGTTATAGAATTATTTAATAGCTAATTTTGAATTTTATTGTAAATCTGAATAAGCTTCTAAAGTTTATGAATTAATTAATATATATTGTTCCTTATTTTCTCATTTTTAAGTAAATTAGTAAGTTTTAGATTTAATTATATAAAATCAATAATTCTTTTTAGAGAAATACTTAAAATGCACTGTTTAATTATTTGTTTAAAATCAAAATGTTATTGTTGATGTAGAATTCATAGAAAAAGTGGCTTATAAAGCTAAAAAAGTAGAAGAGTTTGATACAAATACTGAAATGTATTATCTTATAGTTGATCTTATTATATTACTTACAAAACCTAAATTAATACACTTTGGTTATTTAAAAAGGGACACTTTTAGATATCAAGATTTATTGATCTTAATAGGAATCATAAGTAATAATTAATTGGAATCAATTAGACAAATTTATACTAATTTAGCAATAAAATTATTGAATACAATTGAGAAAAAGTTAAATAAATTGAGATATATAAACTTAATAAATTAGATACTCATGATGACATTAAATAATTTTGAATTTAATTAAGAAATAAATGATAATTCTGTTAAATTATCTGAAAAATTATTAGATTATATATAAGAATATAGAAAAAGTAAATAGTTTAATTAAAATATAAAAAAGTTCTGTTTGTTATTTTTACTTTAAAGTAAAGGTAAATATTTGTAATTATATGAATATATTTACAAAGCAGATTGTGAAATTTTATTGGAACATATTTTTGAAGATAATAATATAGAAATTGATGAATCTATTGTATTATTACAATTTATAACATAATTTGATGATATTAAGATTATGATAATGTAGAAGAGAGAATAACTTAAAAAGATTTATAATAATATTAACAATCAATTTAAGTTGGAAGGTAAAACATCACTTTAGAAATTAAGATAATATTAAATTTTAGTAGGTTACTTTAATATATTATTATAATTGAGTACAGATAGATCTGCCGAATCAAAGGAGGAATAGAAATAGAGATTTCAGATTAGTGATGAAGAATATGAATAAAATCGTAATTTTGCTAAATAGTATTAATAAGACATTTCTGAAAAATATTTTACTTATACAAATGAATACATAAAAAAAGAATAAATTATAAAATTCATAGCTCTTGAAATGAGAACAATTTAATTACTATCTTCATTTATATTTTAATATTAAGATATACTTAATAATGAAAATGTTGTATCAAAATTACTTACTTAATTTAGTTCTGATGATTAAGTTCATTAATATTTATTTGATAAATAATGTTTAAAATTAGTATCAAAATCTATTTTATCAAAGAATTAATTTGGAATTCCTTATTTATGTAAATAAATGAGAAATGCAAATCCAGAATTATTTGATTTTAAGGAAGCATAATTAATATGTGATGCATTATTTGTTTGTGCTTAGAGTGCTACTCATGAATTATTAACATTTTATGCATTATTGGGAATAGTATAATTAACTTCATTAGGTGATTTTATTGTAGATAGAATCATGGATTAGAAACAATACTTATAAATATAAAATTTTTTAATGGATGAAAATAATTATATAGTTCATGCAAGTCTTGAGATTTTTAACAATATATCTTTAAATGAAAAATTCTTAGTACTTTTAGAGGAAAACTAATTACCTACATTCCTTTAATTGGTATAAGCTTTGACTAAATAATTCTATGAAAATATTGAGGGTAAACCAGAATAGAATTAGAAAGACTTTAGTCATCCTAAGTAAATATTATAAACATTATTGGGATTAATTTCAATTATTTCATAAGTGTTGATTGTT